TCATTCAGAGTTAATATCTAATAAATATACATGTGAGAGTATTATTTTAGGGACACATTTCTCAGCATTCTTCAGCTTAAATATAAGTTCTTAGCAGGTTATAAATGAATCCTCTCTTGGTTATCTCCAGCCAAGTCTCTTCTGCTTTGGATGGGGTTGTAGTCAAGGCCAGGTTGATGTATCTGAACTTTTAAACTTAAAACCCACAGATATACTATAAAAAGTGCTAGGTACTCTGAAGAGCCCAAATCCTCTTATTTAAATACAATGTGTAAAAAGTATATAAACACATCACAAAGAAATTCTCAAGGAATTCAGTCTTTCCTAAACCCCTTGAGAGAGGGGTCATCACTGAGAACAGTACCTGACAGAGAAGGTGCCTAATACTTATTTAAAGACAAAAAGTCAGAAGTACTTGTTTAAAGAAAAGCCCAGTCTATCAAATAAACAATAGTGCAAAAGAAAAGCCTGATCGTTTTAAAGGAACTCACTTCACTATCATCTAACAATAAAACCCACTCTGATTTCAGGGGGTAAAAAACAACTATGGTTATACAAAATACCACAAATTAGTTTTGAGAGTTATACAAATTACAGCAAAGGAAAACAATAGATATTTCAAGGGTCTACAGTCAAAAATTTAGATCAGAGCAAAGAATTAAACCCCTTTATGACCTTCTAACTTTGGACGGAAAGCCACAGGTTAGTATTTGGCACCTACAACATACTACCAGTGGTATCATTAAAACTTCAGTTATTCAAATGCAAATGAAAACAGTAATTATAGAAATCACATTTAAAGATGTATGCCACTACATAATTCCCCTTTAATATATCATGTAGTAGTTTTAATCACTAGGTAGAAGTAGGTTGGTTTCCTTAATAATTTTAAAGTATGTACATTACTAGATGTGATCCAATTAAGGATGAAAATTATTAGTTGAGAACCATTAAGAAAAAACCTCTGGATCACTGTAGTTTACAAAAGCAGATCCAAGCTCTTTGAGGCTATGGGCCTAAGACACTTAGATTCAAACCTTGAAGAAGGTTGAAAAGTATGCAGAGAAGCTGGCAGGACATGTCATCCAAATAAAGGAAGGATTCTCCTTTATATCACGTTCAACCTCACTAGTCATTCACCCATATATCAACGGTAGATCCCAAATGGCATAAGGATGCAAGTGTTTGCAAAGAATGAGTCCAGAACTGTCCTGTGATGACATACCAGACCCCTGGCAACCCTGAGATGTTTTTGCTGGTCTTATCACTCTACTGCCCTCAGCTACTTCATTTAGGTGTCCTAGAGCATTCACTATTCTTCCTTGTGTCAGAGAACAGCAAACATGTGACACAATCTCATAAAACTTGAATATGTCAAACAGGTCTTTCTTAACATCACAGTCCAAACCTAAGATCTATTATTCATCTTTAAATACCTCAGGTCTGAGGAATAAAATAAATAAATTTAATAGACAAATTAACCTTCTATAATGTTCACTATAAAATATAGGCTTTAGAACAGTTCATTCCAACATTCACCATGATCACAGAGGATCGTAGAGAATGGATTCCATATTTGTTTTGGATTTACATGCAGAGTATATAGGTATACTGCTAACTAGACACAGAATATTAGGCTCCTGAGAAAGAGACAATAAGACTGTAACAAATATAAAATAGTCCCATCCTACAGTGACAAATTACAAAATGTAACTTTTGTTATTAATTTCTGGTGGTTATTCTCTATTACCACAGCATTGCAAGCCACTTAATGAGACCAAGATTTTTTTTCCATCACATACTACTGTGGGAAAAACAGAAGACAGCATTTATTATCTGGTACTATTAAGTGCTGTTCTGTGTACATTAAATATCTTATCTCATTTAATATTCACAACTCTATTAGGTAAGTACAGATAATGATATACTCTCAGAGATATTAAATACTCTGCCCAAGGCTACACCACTAGTCTTCAGATCATTCTGTCTCTAACCTGATTAAAAAAATTATGCCTAATAAAATTTCAAATACATGTATAAGAGACTATAGCCATAAACATTTAAATTGAAAAAAAAAAAATGTGTTCACTGCATTAACATTTAAAAAAAAAGCCTACACACTCCAACAACTTTTAGTATTCTTGCCAAAAAATGAAAAGAAAATAGATTCCAACTAGTCTATGCTTACATTTATATTTAGAATATGAGCTAGGCATGAGTATGTAATGAATATGTGTATGTGGGTGCGGTTTGCGTGTGTCTGCATATAACACCCACATTATTCAAAAGCTCCCAAAAATGTGAAAAATTTGTTCCAATCCTTCTTTATTTTGTCTGCTTTAAGAATTCTTTGCAATATGCTTGTGTAAATACTGCTTTTAGCTGCTGTTCTCATTTCTCAAATCTTCAGCTTATAAATGGACTGGAAAAGTGACAGACCTAAGCAGACATCTTTGGAAACACAAAACCAAGGAGATATAAACAAATATAACTAAGTCAAAAACAAAGGATTCTTCTTTAAACTCTTTAACTTACCACTATGATAAATGAAAAGAACTAAAAGAAAGTAGAATATACTTGCTGTGAATTAGGAGTGTGTGTGTATGTCTTTGTGTACACATACATATGCACATGCATATACTAAGGTGGGTATCTATCTTATTAGAACACATAATAGTCAACAGTTTACCTCAGTTCACTAAAAGCTCTATAAAAGCATAACGATCTAAACAAAAGAAGATACAGAAGTGAGACTAATATTGGGGGATGGGAGAATATTTAAGAAAATAGCTCTAGGTTGTTACCCAATAGGTGAGTGCCTTCAGTTTTCTGATACCAGAATTCACATTATGGTTCAATTGCAATAATAGCTCATTGACTCTGCAGGTGATTTGCCTCCATCCACAGTTCAAAGAGATGTTGAAGAGGACAAGGACAGAGCAAAAGTACCACCATTTTACTTACCTGATGCTGAGCCTTCATTAAAGACATATCTACAGACTATTTTGGCATTACAGATCATAAACCACAGTGCAGAGAATATGTTAGCACTAAACTACTCAAAGTTGTGAATATATTATTTCCACTTAGAAATGTGAAACTCACCAATGTTGAAGTTAGTGCCTGAAATTAAGCATTACATGTGATAGTATTGGAATCAAAACTGAAGCAGAAGACACTTTCTGATGAAGACTTAGCAATAATACCAATGGATTTTGCACTTTAATAATATAATTATCCCATTATTGGAAACACAGTCTAAGTAGAGCATTTCTGCCAGGGTTGTGAGCTGAACAAACATCTGGTATGTGTCTTCTCCATGTAAGCTAATGTTACCACAAATTTTTTTAATGAAAGCGAAGTAATACTAAAAACAACAATTTTACCAAAATAAGAAAAAAAGCTTTATACTCATCCAGCATTGTGTAAGTGTAAAAATTATTTTAGATTTATAATTGCAGGCTCTTTAATCATAATAATGTATTGTTAGTAAATAAAAATAAGCATTGCTAGAATTAGAAAAAAGTGATAAAATGCAAAATAAAATTCTCCATGTTTCTAAAGATGGCTTTCTTCTTTCAGGGTGATCATACTGACAATAAAACTATAATAGAATATTCAGTCCAGAATGATCAAGGGCTAAGTGGTTTTGGCCTCAGTCCGCTGAAGAAAGCATGGAGGAGGAATTTAGCTTTTGGAAAGAGAATAAATATTGGCAGTATCCTGATTTTACTTGGAGCATCTCATCCCACATGCAAACTGGTGTGAAGACATGGCAGATGGGATTACTTCTGCTATTTCGACTGCTGAAGCATCCTGCTTGCCTCCACAAGTATGAATAGTCAGCCAAAATAGGGAGCAGTGGTAAGTGTGCTGGCTGTATGAAGTAGGTACCTAGAAACTTTTCTCTGTTTTTTCTCCTATCATAGATTAATAAAAAAATATTTAGAAAATATTACTTCTGTCAAACTTGAAAAAGACTAATTTAGTGACATGATGCAGATTTTCATATATTTTATGTAAATGTGTGGAGAAAAATATGTGGGCAAAGAAAACCAGAGTAATTAGCGTTTTATAGGAAAGAAATGTGAAAGCAACTAAACTGAATCAGTAATTTTTTTCCACTTTACTTTATTTTCATGATTCCATCATTACTCAAAACTGCTGAGCTGGCATTAGAATATGAGAGTACATCACTCAGAACACAAATGAGATTCCTTTAAATTCTGCAAGAAACCTCTAAACCAGCATGCTATGCCATTGTGTAAATAATGCCTATTGGTTAGTCTTGTCTTTTTACCTCTTCAAAAGGATTGTTGAATCCAAAAAGGATAATTTTGCTATAAATAAATGAAATGAGGTGATTATTTCTCTCTAAGAAGTACTGTGACAATACCTGAAGTATGTCACTATCCTTAACCCTCCCAAAGGACAGATAAAAGTCTAGAAATAAAATTATACATCTATTTGCTAAAAGGAGGAGTTTAATGGTTACTGAAAGAAAACTTGAAGGCCACCTACTTAGACTGTGAATGAAAACATCCATTGAAACAATATCTCTCATCAAACTCTTTTTTTTAAGGTGATTCATGATATGCGTGGAGAAGTTCAAGAGATTTTAAAATTGAATAAATACCTCAAAACATAATACTAATTCCATCCTCCACATGACGCTTCTCACTAAAAAACAATTATATAGGAAAGAGGGCATGAGCCCATCAGGTTTACCCATAACCCCTTTTGCTTCCAGGTAAGGGGCAAATGTTCTACATGCTGGGAACCAGACAGACATCTCAGACTGACTGATGATCTCTAGGGCCCAGCAAGTTGCTTATTTTAAAAATAAAACAATTCTTAATAAAATGATGAAAATCAGTCTGCTCTTTAGGGACTGAGAGGGGATTTCTTTGATATTTGTTTTTACATCCTAATGAGCATACATTATAGAAGTAAATCAATGCCAAGGCAAGGCACACATGTGGAAGTTGAGATAAACTTACGAAGTAGCCTGTTCCCAAGCTGGAAGGAGCTGAACTCTGCAATAAAACATAAAGACAAAGTGGAAAATCAGCAATGGTTTTTAACACGTTCCAATCCACACAGGTCATTACCAGCCCTTTGCAAGCTTTTCATCACTACATCACATCACCAGTGTATGCTGCCTCTTGTCATCTGCTCCTGATACCAACGCTGTGTTGCTTAATTTTCCCCTTTACATCTCTCAACAACTCAGAGATGCTAACGTGCTATTTACTGAATTCCAAGCTTCTGCAGTGGATGTAATTGCCAATTTATTTGACAGGCAGCTGGGTAATGAATTAATGATGGCATTTCGCCCTGCACTGAGACTAAACAGACACACATCAGCCTGACTCCCTGACTTGCTGACATTCAATGCCCTGGTCTCAAGCTATTCAGTTTTGTGGCCGCAAAGGGGCAGGCAAGAGGAAAAAGCCCAGACTGACTTGAAAATAAAAAGCCCAGTGGGTTTGGATGACTTTTCCAGTGTATGACCTATTTGCCAGTTTATTCCCTAAAGGCATTAGTTAGTACACACAGAGTGCTTTTCAAAAATGAGACATTTTGTAAACATAATTAGCAGACTAAAATGCAAAGAATGTGTGGGTATAGGGAAGCAGGAAAAAGCACCATTTTTCTGAAGGTATTAGTCCCCAGAATTATCACTGTAGGCTACCACAGTCTGATACATGGAGACCAAAAAAAAAAGCAAGCAAGCTTTGCAGAACATCACTTCTTTGGGCAAGGAAGTCAAAAACAAAACAAAGCAAAACAAAAAGAAACGTGGTTTGGGTTTTAGGCTTGCCTGTGATTTTTTTTTTTCCTGTATTGTTTCTCTTTTTTCCTAAAATATCTCAGTACAAATTCTTTAATTTTTAGTGTCCTCTTTGTGAACAATAGAGGTCCCAAGTAAGCTTGAAACAATAATAATGCTAATTTCTTAGGCAGCCTTCAGATCTCAACTAAGGGTCCCCACACAACCAAGGCCTATCCCTGACTAGTTTGAGTGGAGTGTTATGCCTTTCCTGGAGTGGCTTGACTTCCATTCTGAAGCAAGAGTTACTCAGTTTACCTGTAGTTCTTCCAGCTAAATGTCCTGTTCCTGCTCTGCAAACTACAGGTAGTAGGAACCATCTGGTTTACTCATAATTACTTCCCTAGAGCTTAACACAATGCTTTACTCAGGATGTATTTTTAAAAATACTTGTTGAATTAATGTATATATAAATGAAGAAATATATGGGGGAAATGGTAAATTTGATATATGATAAAATACAGTAGATGTTTTTCTCCTTAATTTTAAACTGTTTCTAAGAAGGAAATACAGTGTTGTAAGTACAGAAAGCATTAGTATCAAACAAGGATAGTGTGCTCCAAGGCACTCCTAAATGCAGTTCCCAAAACCAAACTTTCTTCACCTCTGTGTTTCAAACAAGCTCAGGGGAACAAAGGACGGCAGACTTGTGATGCTACACACTGGCTTTGGTTTAAAAAAATCCTGCCGCATTCTTGATCCCATAAATGGTACACAGGGAGATCCACAGTAGTCATGGAGACAGTTTCTCACAGAAGTCATTAGCCACATGACAGTGTCACCTGTTTTCAACACCCAAAGCCTTCCACAGAGCAAAGGGAAGCAAAAACTAGGTTAGGTCTCCACCAGCCTGGAGTCAAGACCCTGGGAAGTAATATCATTTTAGGGAGAATTACTCCAAGAAACATGGAATTTGTTTTCAGGGATTTTTTTTTTTCATCTTGCAAATGATTTTTATCCCAGAAGTACAAGTACCCCTCCAAACCTACCTTTCCACCCCTCACACATATCATCTTATTGTATACCAAAGAAAATTACATACTTCAGGTCCCAGAAAGCTCTGTTATACACATTTTGCATATATATTGTACATTACTCAGGGAGCTGGGTAAAGAAGAGGGCTTTGTTGTGCATATTTGTTCTGGCTATTGTTTATGCAGGTCTGACTGAATGAGAGAATAGTGGGTATCATTTCAATTTCTGATGTCAACATCAAATTACTTATTTAATTTCATGCCTGGCGAAGCATTGTATAGCTACACGCAGAATCATTTCACTTCATTTGTTATGCTGTGTTTTTGTGGCGATTGGCTTGCCTTCCAACTGACAGCTTTAATTACGACATGAATTTGATTGCACTGCCGAGGAATTAACATAATGCAACAAAGCATTTAAGGACCCTGCCTTATAACACACCACACACGCACACACAAACACATCATACACATAAAGAAACAGAGATACGAGTCCCTCTCGTACATTACAGATCCACTGGAGTTTTGGTATTTGTTAGAATGCATATAGAACCATAGAGTCAGAGGTTACCCACATTTTCCAACCCACTGTACTCACTTTTTTTAATAGGAAAAATCTGTGTCATTAAGTTGAGATTTCTGGACCTGGCAGAAGACTTTGTAGAAAAAACCTTCTATTCTGCTTTGCCAAGTGTCTATGGTATCGGCATTTCTTCCCCTCTTACGCCCTTCCCAACCATATTTTTCTTGGCCGATTTCCAGCTCCCTTCAATCATAGCTGGTGAATTTGAACAAAAACATCTCTAAAATAAAGAGATTTCTCTTTGTCCAGCTCTTTATTCCCAAGGATTTGCCTATGGCTTTGTATTCAGTGGGACACTACTCCTTGTAGCTAAAAGGATCACCACCATCAGATATAGGTAACACGTTCTGAGACCGGCAGGAGTCAGTTTCATTGATAGCTCATGACATGCATCACACATCCCTGAGACCTTGCTATCCAAAAGGCCCAGAAGAGCCTCAGTCATGTATGCCTAATCTAAGTCTGTATCCAAATACAGATGAAAATATTTGATAGCAGTAACATTTTTCCATTTCAGAAATTTTATGAATACCCCAAACCATGGGCAACAACAGATTATGCTACAAGAATTCAATGTTTAGAAACACCTTTTTACTTGAAAGATGTGACATTAGTTATACATTTACAGATGTGCATTTAGAGATTGGTACTGCTTTTTCATGTTATAGAAGAGGAGTCAGATACCAAGAGGTAAGGCTCTACTCTGACCACTGAACCATTTGATAAAATAAAGATGATTTCAACAATTTCTACTGAGAAAATGGATCTTCCACTTTTCTTGTGTAAAGAGAGAAGGCAAAATGTCCAAATTATATAGCAGAAGTATTTAAAGAATCCAGAAAAGCCTATGAGTAAGAATGTGGCTGGAAAAGGAGATTTTCTGAAAGATTTTATTTTTAATGCAACAAACAAAGGCATACAACAACATTTGAAATATCATACATTCATGTTTAGACAAATACTTCCTTTGAATTAAAAAAAGCCTTTATTCTTATTTCTTCAAGTGGCAGAGTTGCCAATTCATCCATATTTTCAATGTACTAGGTTGAAATTAGAGGTATAGAGAGACTTGAGAAACCAAAGTAGGAAAAAGCATTTAGCAGTTTGCTTGAGAAGACAAAAATATAAGAAAATGCCAGCCAGCTGACTGAGTGATATGTGATTTCTGGGCTCATTATAAGAGTCATTTCCTGTTTAACATGGTCTTTTCATTCTGCTGTGGGTTGTTTTTTTTGTTGTTGTTGTTGGGTTTTTTTTTTGCATATTTGACCAGGCTCTAGCAATCTCTGTAAATTATGTACCTGGATCTCATTATGTTGCAAAGAAGAGCTTTCTTACAAACACACTCTGCCTCAATCTCCAAGCTACCATGGGTTGCAGAAATTGTAATAGGATGCACAGTTGAAAGACACTTTCCAGGAGAGAGAATGCTGCTGCTGACATTCTAGTCTACAAGTGGATATTCATTAAATGCCCATTCTACTCTTTCTCACTACCCCCCATCTGACTTTCTTTCCATCTCTGTCACTAAGCTATCATTGAAGCTACTCATTAAACTCGTGAAGTTAACATTCCTGTGTTAACAGCTTACCTACAACAAGGGATTTCAAAATTGATTATCCATTTAAAATAGATGTGCTCCATTCATTAGAGATCTACACAGAGAGGCCACAGCTACTATTATAGCTCCCTGGGTACGAAATGGATATGTGCTCCACCCCTGGATGAGATGGATGCTCTGATCATAGGGCTAATTTAAATAGAATATTTAAAATTGTTCCAAATCACCAATTGTGTCTGACATCCCTGCCTATCCACCTCCATGTTAATGCTTTTTTCCTCTTGGTAGTAAAAGCATAAGGATCATGGCCAACTGCATTTCTTGCAAAGGTCATGAAACAGGCTCATTTATGGATTTTTTGTAGTGTTTTAGAAAACAGTGACAATTTAAAGAACCTGAAATCTTAATCTAAGAAATGTGCCTTGGGGATACAATTACTAATAGATGATGAAGACACCAAATAGAGTATCTGAATGGGAAAACGAGCTACTGGAAAAATTTAAGTAAAAATGGAGGGAGGGTAACAACGTGAAAAAACCATCAGGTATGATGAATATGGTCACTTCCAACTTCAATTTTCCAACCCTCTGTTATAACCACTTCAAGTTATCACCAGCTCTCATCTATACTCAACAGCCTTTTGGCTTCTTTCACTGACTTAATTCTTTATCTTCGGCTTTTCATATAAAAGGCAAAGCAAACATTATAAAGTATAAATTATAACAAGATTCCTTTTAACATCTTCCAGAGGCTTTTAAAATAATAGATTAGAGTGGGTTGAAAAGTGTCCCTGCCTAAAATCCAGAATGTGATCGTGACGGTTATTTTTAGTCAACTTGACTAGGCCACAGGGTATCAAGATGTTTGGTCAAACGTTATTTTGGGTGTTACTGTGAGAATGTTTTTGGATGAGTTACATTTAAATAGAGTGGACTTCCAGTCAAGGTGGAGGCATAGGTAAACACGGATCGACTCCTCACACAACCACAGCAAAAACTACAAATAGACTATAAAACAAATATCACCCAGAATCATCAGAAAAACAAGCTGCATGGAAATCAGGCAAACAAGGAATGAAAGAAGTC